GGTGCTGCATTATGCCTTAGGGAGACCAGTCCCCAGAGGGTATAATGGAAATCAATCTGTGGGTATCTGGGGCTCGGGGGGGGGGGCTGTTTTTTGAGGTAGAGGCACCAAATTTGCAGCATAGCTGCTGGTGCCTCTCCTCAACCCCACCTCCCCCAGTTTCAAAAAGATTGACCAGCAGGTCCAATTCTATGGGTCCCCAAAGAAGGTGCCCTCAGTGGAGGGGGGAAAAGGTGTTTAAAAGAATTGCAGTCCCTTTAAATGCCTTTCCCAAGCCACCCAACTCCACGGCAAGTGAACTCTAAAGGCGTTTAAAGGGCTTATCGTCCCTTTAAACATCTTATCCAGTGACAAGTCCACCTGGAATGTGTTTAAAGGGACTGTGAGCCCTTTAAACGCCTTCGGAATTCACTTGCTGTGGAGCTGCACAGCTTGGAGAAGGCATTTAAAGGAACCACAATCCCTTTAAACACCCTTTAAGTTCAACCATCCTGTGGTCCTGAAAATCCCAAATATTTTCAGGATTTTCAGGGCTTGGCCATTTCAGATAGCCTAACAATAACCCAAATCTATATCTAGCTGAAACAATATCCAGAAAATACCAGTAAGGATTTGGATATTTTTTTCGGCTTGGATTTAGGCAAATGCATATCTCTATATCAGACTGAAACTTGTAAGAAGGTGCTGTAATTTCTCCCAGTGAAAAACTGGATACAGCTTGAAGTGCTCAGGACTGCTTAGAGAATAACGTTACATCTGCTTTTGCATTCAGTTTTTGACATTTGATTTTGTTTTAGCATTGTGGATGGGAGACTTGTTTAAATGAAAATAGTATTGTCAGACTTAATGCTTCAGCGGCTGGATGATACAGGAAATGCCATATATCCATAGAATTACATGGTACAGGAAGGACACTTCTAGAATCTCTAGCATTTTGATTTTGTTTTAGCATTGTGGATGGGAGACTTGTTTAAATGAAAATAGTACTGTCAGACTTAATGCTTCAGCGGCTGGATGATACAGGAAATGCCATATATCCATAGAATTACATGGTACAGGAAGGACGCTTCTAGAATCTCTAGCATAATCATTAATCTGTAAGTTTCATGAGTGCATCGAAATACAGAGAGAACATGCAAGAGTATAACTGTTCTTAATCTGTTTTGTCATTGTACCCTGAATTTTCCAGCCATGCAAGAGGAAGCTCTCAAGTTGGTTCTTTTGGCTTTGGAGGACGGATCTGCTTTGTCACGGAAGGTCTTGGTTCTCTTCGTGGTACAGAGGTTGGAGCCGCGATTTCCTCAGGCTTCGAAAACCAGCATTGGGCATGTTGTCCAGCTCCTTTACAGGGCCTCTTGTTTCAAGGTACTGAGTAGGCTGTACTGGTGAGGGCTGCAGTCGTTTTAATATTAGATGTTCAGTTGTTCTCTGGGCGATGAAACACTTTTTATATGCTCGTATGTTGTTTTTTTTTTTAAGCTTTCCAAGTTGTGGCCATTTATAAAGCCACATATCCAGAGAAAATACATTCCCTCGAATTTATCTCACATGAATGACTTGGGGAATTCCTTTCACAATCCAGGTAACAGTGTGAAGGCAGTTTCAGATGGACACTGCGTTGTGCCTGCATTCTGTGAATCTGCCCCTCATCTTCAAATACATTTTCACTTGCAGGTGCCATTGTATAGTGAAAACACAATAAATAAATACGAGTCTGTGTTTGCGAAAATCAAGCCCGCACAATTTCCTTTGGGTCAGGAAGAGTTTTCATTGTCAGCCATTCAAGGTCTTCGCACAAAGCTGTTCATGTTCTAGGACAGAAGATGGCAGGGGCAGCTGAAAAATGGCCCATGATGCAGTAGAGTATGTGCTTTTAATAAAGAAAGCTTCAGTTTATTCCCTGTCATCTCAAGCTGAAAGGATCTTAACTAAAAGATCATTTCCTGAGACCTTAGCAAGCTGCTGCAAGTCAAAGTACTGGGTTAGATGAACCAAAGGGGCCTGACTCAGCGTAGATGAACCAAAGACTGACTCCGCAGTCTTAGTAGGCAATGCACTTCCCTCTTGGTTTTCAACAGCAGAGCCTCTCAAAGTGCAGCACTCTTTACTGGTCTGTCAATAAAGAAATACAGAGTGTACTAATACAGAAATAGGTTTGTAAGTGATACATACTTTTTTTAAAAGAAATTTTTATTGATTTTAATAATACAACAATATAAACAGTTTGACATGACATTAGGGTTGAAGATAGACTTAATAAACATATCATTACAGGTAGAGTTTGTATATGTCCAATAAGGTTTAGTAATGCATATAAATCCAAGCATGTTTTAATATTGTACACTAAGAGCATTAAGTTATAGGCAAAATAGGGAAAGCTAAATTGGTTATATTATTCACAATAAAGCATCAGTTTGTATTTAGCTTCCGTTATGTTTTCCCAATCAAATTTGTTTAACTCTATATTGTCTAGAATGGGATAATAAGTGATACATACTTCATCTGATTATGAAAAAGCCATTCCCACTTCCCACAGAGATAGAAATAAATATTCTTAGGTGATAATATTGTACGGTCCATACATCTTGACATATAACAATACTGTAGGGTCAGGGTAAAAGAACTGGGAAAAATATTACTTTGAGTTGGGTAAGTTTTACCTTCTTGTGTATTGTCTCCCTTGGTCCAGCTGAGACTGAACACGGCCCTGTTGTCTCCACCAGGTAACTAAACGCGATGAAGACTCCTCCCTGATGCAGCTGAAGGAGGAGTTCCGAACGTATGAAGCTCTGAGGCGGGAGCACGATTCCCAGATTGTGCAAATTGCGATGGAGGCTGGTTTGCGCATCGCCCCAGATCAGTGGTCCTCGTTGCTATATGGTGACCAGTCCCACAAATCCCACATGCAGTCCATCATTGACAAGGTAAAGTCTGTGCAAACCGATACGTTTTCTTTGCTTCTCGACTGTAGTTTTGCTGCCTTTTTTGCCATCAAGTCACAGCTGACTGATGGCAACCCTGTGGGGTTTTCGAGGTGAGAGACGTTCAGAAGTGGTTTGCCACTGCTTGCCTCTGTGTAGCAACCCTGGACCTCCTTGGTGGTCTCCCATCCATATACTAACCAGGGCCGACCCTGCTTAGATTCAAAGATCTGACAAGATCAGGCTAGTCTGGGCCGTCCAGGTCAGGGCTGTTATTATTAGCTATAAATAAAGGCCTTCATTAATTCCCTACCTGTTTCTCAATTGCATTTCCTTAAACAATGTTCTTTGGCTGTTTTCCAGAGTATTCGAAATAGCTTGTATGAAATATATATAAGCAAAACCAAAACATATAACCTTAGCTAAAAACAGCCAGGTAAGTGTGGTGTAGTGGTTAAGTGCGCGGACTCTAATCTGGGAGAACCGGGTTTGATTCCCCACTCCTCCACTTGCACCTGGCTGGATGACCTTGGGCAAGCCGTAGTTCTGATAAGAGCTGTTCTTGCTTGAAAAAGAGCAGTTTCTGTCCAGAGCTCTCTCAGCCCCACCCACCTCACAGGGTGTCTGTTGTGGGGAGGGGAAGGGAAAGGAGTTTGCAAGCCGCTCTGAGACACCTTTGGGTAGCGAAGGGCGGGGTATAAATCCAATCTCTTCTTCTTCTTAACCGACTAGAAAATCACAAGTGAAAGCTGAAATAGTAAGGTTTTACAGCCCTGACTGAAAATGGTCATACAAACACCACACCTTCATCTCCAGTAGGCAGAGTACTCCAGAGCAGAGATAAAATTTCCAGAAATTTTAAAGCCATTTGTTAGGGGGTAGATTAGAAATAATTGAAATATATATGCAATGCTTACTTACCAAGCCTAAACTTATTTTAATGCTGTAATGATACATCATTTGTGAGTTAGTTGGCATATAAAATTGTACTATTTGGTGTATTTTTGACTCATCTTCAGCCTGCTGCACCCTGTGCTGACTTAGCACTTGTCTCTTAGTTTTTTGTCATTTGAGAGGAAGGGAAAAAATACAAGTTGCTGATAGAAAACACAAATTTTGTAGCAAAGAAAAGAAAGTGTTAGCTGTTGTAGTTTTTCCGGGTTGTCTGGCCATGGTCTTGGCATTGTAGGACCTGACGTTTCACCTGTAGTTGTGACTGGCATCCTCAGAGGTGTCATAGAGAGTACTCCATCTTTCTATGTTATACCTCTGAGGATGCCAGTCACACAGCTACTGGTGAAACATCAGGTCCTACAATGCCAAGACCACGGCCATACAACCTGGAAAATCTACAACAGCTAATGAACTCCGGCCATGAAAGCCTTCAACAACATATTAAAAGAAAGTGTGTTGCTCAGACAGAAAGTGTTGTACTTTAAAATCATTGCACTGTTTAATAGCCTATTGAACACATGAAGCTGCCTTATACTGAATTAGATCATCAATCCATCAAAGTCAATATTGTCTAATTAGACTGGCAGCAGCTCTCCAGGGTCTCAGGCAGAGGTCTTTCGCATCACCTACTGCCAGATCCTTTAATTGGACATGCTGGGGATTGAACCTGGGACCTTCTGCATGCTAAGCAGATGCTCCACCACTGAGCCACGGCCCCTTGCCAAACACATTATAGCGTATTAGTTAGTCAAACTTAATAAATATGTGCTTAAATATACGTTACGTATACTATATATGCAGGAATTATTATTTTTTAATTCTGTAGAGTTGTGTTCTATAACCAAACCTTCATTGTACATATTCTGAGGGACTGAAATCTTGTCTTCCAAAGCATTTCACTCATTTCGAAAGGGAGAACATTTCATAGGAGTCTGTTCTTTTTCTCCAGTGCAAAATTTCATATTTTTTTTCCATCAGAAGATTTGATAGCAGTCCCAGGGGGACTGTTTCACCACCTCCACCCCGGCCCTCACATTTCTGTTTCATAGTCTGTAATAGTAAAGGCCTTCTTTCTTCAGCTCACCATTCTGATTGGGTGTTAAGATGCCTAAACTAGCAGGTCCTGATTTCCTTTTTCACAGCTGGTACAGAAGATGATACGTTATACCCTGCCTTTCAACCATGGCACCATGCTGGCAAATTAAACTTTGCATGTAACGGCTGTGTTGGGCTATGGGAGGGGGAAAGAAGGGAAAGTGGTGTCTCGCTGGCACCAGTATTAGGTGTCATTTTTCTTTTCATTCCTGCCTTCTCAGAAGAACTCTGCTCTTACAGCATCTAGTACAGCTTTGGTTCAATATCTTCCCAGAATATGCAGTTAATGAATGCCTTTGGGGAGTACCAAGGTGTGGTTTGCCACTGGGAGTGGCAAGGAGTGCTGAATGATAGAATACTGGGTGCCCCTTGAATTGGGAGGAGAAATTACTTCCTTTCAGGGTGCACAACTGGACTACAATTGAAGCAAGGCATTTGGACATGCTCCTTTAGATGTGATCTGCTGATAATGACTTCCAGGAGAGAGAAAGCTCTAATTGTTATGTTATTATTGTTTTAAGTTGCAGACCCCAGCCTCCTTTGCACAGAGTGTTCAGGAGCTAACAATTGCTCTCCAGCGGACTGGAGACCCCGCCAATCTGAATAGGCTTCGACCTCATCTTGAACTCCTAGCAAATATTGATCCCAGTCCAGGTAATTGCAAAATATGTATACCACTGGGTGCATGTTCTCTCTTTCTCTCAAGTAGACTTAACCAAACTGAAAAGCATCACAAAAACAGGGTAAACAAAACAGTGACTTCTGTGGCAGGTAATCCTCCAGAGAAGCTTCTCAGAAGAGAAGTCATCACAGAAGCAGAAAGCCTTCTTTTTTCCTCTTTTGGTTGGGGTATGCATGTGTGTGTGTGAGTGTGCCTGCATGCCTGGAAGTCATGGTGACTTCTGATGATCCCTACTGGGGTTTGGAAGTTTCAGAGAGGTGGCTTGATATGCCCGGTTCTGCGTCTCGACCCTGGTATTCCTTTGGAGGTCTCCCTTCAAATTACTTGCCAGGGTTGGCCCTGCTTAGCTTCTGAGATCTGACGAGAACAGGCTTGCTTGGGCTATCCCGGTCAGGGAAAGCAGAAAGCCTTGTTGAAGTAAGGAAAGATTATGTGCAGAAATGTGCATTTAGGCGGTAGTGTCTTTTGGAAATGGGGGGGGGATAATGCAGGAAAAGCACAGTACCAACAAAGCATCTTGTAATTCCCCATGCATTTTAAATACCTGTCTTTCTTGGGGGAAGAATTACTTTGCAAATACATAAGGCAACTGGATCTACTAACCCATTAAACCAGTCTTCTGACACGTAGGTTCCTTAGTTTTTCACTAAGTCAGTGTTGCTGCTGAAAAAGTTACAAGACTAGTAGTCATGATTTAAGGCAGGGGTGTCAAACATGTGGCCCCCTGTTTTATCTTAGTCTCCAACTACACCCTTGCTCTTGCAGGCCAGCCCCTCAAAAAAAAAACACAACACTCAGTATCTTCCCTGACCCCAACACCTTTATTTCTCCTCTCCTCTCCTCTCATGACTTTCCAAGTGTTGTTCCCACCACTCATCCCATTGCACGCATTTCAACCCTTCCCTTCCGTGCCCCACCCTCCAGTCCCTTATACCCCTTCCCCCAGATACACTCTGGCATTCCCATTTCTACACTGCCACTAATGCCCGTGTCTATCAGCAGCTCCCCACCATCGCCACACATGATGGCTTTCTCCCTTCTCCCCAAGGGTCGCTTTCTCCAACATTGTGGTGGAGAAAGAGTGAGAGAGGTGGCAGAGGAGAAGAAGAAGGTGACAGTAGCAAAGGAGGTGGCTTCTGCTGCTGAAGCAAAGGGGGAGGCCCAGTGCACACGTGCACTGACGGGGAGGTGGCAACCACCCCCCCAACGGGAGGAGGAGAGGGGGAGGCAGCCGCATTTGCGCAGCCTGGCCCAACCAAGAGGGGGAGGATGAACCCTCCAGCCAGCCAGCCAACTTTATGAAGAAGAAGAGATTGGATTTATACCCCGCCCTTCACTACCCAAAGGTGTCTCAGAGCAGCTTACAAACTCCTTTCCCTTCCCTTCCCCACAACAGACACCCTGTGAGGTAGGTGGGGCTGAGAGAGCTCTTGACAGAAACTGCTCTTTTTCAAGAACAGCTCTTATCAGAACTACGGCTTGCCCAAGGTCATCCAGCCATGTGCAAGTGGAGGAGTGGGGAATCAAACCCGGTTCTCCCAGATTAGAGTCCGCGCACTTAACCACTACACCAAACTGGCTCTCTTATGCGGGTCTTTTCGCTGCTCTTGCCGCCGCCACCACCCTCCCTTGCTCGCGGCCAGATAACAGACCTGGATGGGCCGCTTCTGGCCCCTGAGCCATATGTTTGCCACCCCTGGGTTTCCCAGGCAAGAAACATATAGAGGTGGCTTGCCCTTGCCTGCCTCTGCATAGCAACCCTGGACTTCCTTGGATGTTCTCCCATCCAAATACTAACCAGGGCCAACCCTGCTTAGCTTCCAAAATCTGACGAGATCAGGCTAGCCTGGGCCATCCAGGTCAAAGCCTATTACGAGTTAGGGAATCCTATTTCTTTAGGATTTCTCAGCTACAGGATGGAAATTTAACTTCTCTGTTTCTTGTGAATGCTTTAGACGCCCCGCCACCCACGTGGGAACAGCTTGAGAACGGGCTGGTTGCTGTGCGGACTGTGGTACACGGCCTGGTTGATTACATCCAGAATCACAGCAAGAAAGGAGCAGATCAACAGCAGGTACAGAGCAGTGTGGGGCTTTTTGCAGTGGGAAGGCATCCTTTGTCCTTGATGGATTGTTCCATGTTTTCATTTATATATATATATATATATACACACATTTTAAATAAAGTCTTTCTGCTTCAATTTTATTCTGGCCAGTCTCTAAGATGAAATGAAGATGAGTCAGCCACAAATACTACTTTGTGTTGCAAGAGTTCATTTGGAGCGATAGAAAGAGAAACAGTGCAAAGACTGTACGGAAACAAAAGGGAATTGGTTCCTTTCTCCACACCACCACCACCTCCCCATCCCAGGCAAAAAGACAACACAACAAAGAAAGCGCTGCACAGGGGGGCTGTGTGAGGATGGTAGTTTTTCAGGGGCTTGACAGGAAAAAAAATTAACACACTAATTGCAGAGAATGACCTGGATCCAGTGGAGCATTTCCCTGGTTAGAAGGGTTTCTTCCAGCAGAGCGTGACTTTCTTGCCTCTCCTCTCCCCACTACGAGCCAAAACGTTTCCCTCCCCCCCATTGCTTATCCTGGAGGAACAGGGGACCTCCAGAAACAGTGTTTCAGGGGGCGTTTTGGCCGCAGTGAGGAGGGGTGGGAAGCAGGAAGGTTGCATTCCGTGGCCGAAAATCTTTCCACTTGTGGAAGTACTACACTGGATCCAAGCGAATGACTGCATCAAATATCAGAACCACCATCAGGTCTCTGAAGAAACTATCTGATGATAGGAATAGAAAAGGGAGTGGTTCTTTTAAAACACAATAGACAGTGTTTTGGGATGCCTCAGAGTGGGAGAGATAACGGGTAATACAGGTTATAAGCTTTGTAAAGATCTGACAAGCATATTAGCACTTATTTGAAAAGAGAGCTAGAAAATTGCAGGACAGAGTTTTTTGTACATCTTTATATGCAGCGGAGATAAAGTACAGCTGCTGACTAAAGGAAATGTTAAGTTCCAGAAACCTTATGAATGTTAACTAGACTTTGAAAATGATGATTGCCAGTTGCTTTTAAGTTAGAGAAGGAGTCTGAGAAATGTATACAGAATTGTGCTGTGGGATAAGGTTTGACCAAAATTATTTATTTATTTTATTTATTTATTTATCAGATTTATGGATTGCCCAACCCCGCAAGTGGGCTCTGGGCGATTGACAACTTTAAAACTGATAAAATACAGTCAACATAAAATAAAATTGTCAGAAAGCACTAATAACAGTACTAATAACAGTCAAAGGCATCGGGTTGAATCCAGAGCTAGTTGTCTGCCCCTGGGTGGTGGTGGGGTTTGCTGATTCCGTCCTTCTACTCAGTACTTCATCCTCATCCTTTACACTATTCCTGAAGGTTCCCTGTTGCCCAGGAGCAACATTTCTGGGAACTCCATAGGCTGCAGCCAGGGGTTGGATGAGGGGCCGGGAAAGTTTTAGTCCGCTGGCAGTGGCAGCAATGCCATCTGTTGGCAGAAACGAACCTCTTTGGATCTAGTTCATCGTTCTCCTTATTCTAATCAAGTTCTGGTAAAAGTGTCGTATTTCTTTGTCTTCTTTGTTTCTAATTTGTGTGACTATGAAAAGGAGACAAATAGGCCTGGTTCAGACAGGGCCGCCAAATCACGGCTTGGCTATAAGGAGCATGCTGTGGCATGGTGTGGTGAGGATGTGGAAGAAATAGTTTAGCTCCACATGTTGACTCCAGGCCCAGTCAAGATGCTTTTTCTTTTTTCTTTTTAAAGGCCTAGCAGTGCTTTTTGCGTTGTGTCATACTTAGCAACTTTTTTGCTAAAGATTAAGGAGAGAAATATAAAATCCTTTTTGTAACAGTTGAATTTGTTGTTGTTGTTGTTGCTAACATTCCTGTGCTGCCTTTCTACCCAAATAGGGTCCTCGAGGCAAACATCAAAACATTAAAAAGTTTCAACATTAAAATGATGTTTTAAATAATTCTATTAAAAATTCTATAAAAACATATAAATCAAAGGTTCCCAACTATTTTGAGCCTGTGGGCACCTTTGGAATTCTGCCAGAGCATAGTGGAGCCAGCCACAAAATGGCCGCTGCAGCTTAACCTTCAGTCACACAGTGAAGATCCTTGTGCTGTGGTGGCAGCTGCTGTAATAAAAATCCCCACAGCCAATTAAATCTCCAGTGGCCAGTTAGAAGCCTTGCTGGGCAAAAGCCCCACCTGGCCTTGGGGCTCTTTTTGTAGAAAAAGCTATTTAGCAACTTTTTTGCTAAAGATTAAGGAGAGAAATATAAAATCCTTTTTGTAACAGTTGAATTTGTTGTTCTTGTTGCTAACATTCCTGTGCTGCCTTTCCACCGAAATAGGGTCCTCGAGGCAAACATCAAAACATTAAAATGTTTCAACATTAAAATGATGTTTTAAACAATTCTATAAAAACATATAAATCAAGGGTCCCCAACTATTTTGAGCCTGCGGACACCTTTGGAATTCTGCCAGAGCATAGTGGAGCCAGCCACAAAATGGCCGCTGCAGCTTGAACCTTCAGTCACACAGTGAGGACCCTTGTGCTGTGGTGGCAGCTGCTGTAATGGCAACGTTTTTAAAAATCCCCACAGCCAATTAAATCTCCAGTGGCCACTTAGCAGCCACTTTCTAGAAAACACTTGGTGGCTGGCCAGGAAGGATGTTGGCCAGGGGCACCACGTCGCCCACAAGGCACAATGATGGATGTAGATTCCTTACTCCTGTGTACATTTGGTGGCTGCCAGGAAAGTTATTGGCAGGGGCACCATGTCGGCCACAGGCACCATGATGGATGTAGATTCCTTACTCCTGTGTCATCTGAATACATTGACATTGAGATTTGATTCCATAATAACTGGTACATTTAGCTTTGTGTTTTAAAGTAACATAGGTTTAACAGAGGACTGAGGCTTAATCCAGGCCCAAATTCTGCGACAATAGAAACACACATTTTTATCTCTGTAACTTTAAGAAGGGAACACCAACTGTTAATCTGGAATTACTGTTTTATGAGAATTCTTCCTGTCCCTTAGAGATCTAGCTATTCTGTATCTAGCACCATCAGTGTGTTGTTAGTCTATGGTGTGGCTGAGTACCTTTTTTGAGATAATCCGTCTGCCATTTCAGCATCCTGTATTCTTGCATTGCATTAGATTTGTTCTGACTTCTGTTTTGGAGAATTATTTTTAGAGCAAATGGGTTTTGTCAGTATTTTGGTGTCATCTTCTTTATGTTATCACCTCTGAATTCAGCCTCCGCAGCACAGCAAGTACAAGACATACATGTGCCGTGATATGAAGCAAAGAGGAGGGTGCCCCCGTGGGGCCAGCTGTACCTTTGCACATTCGCAGGAAGAGTTAGAAAAGTAAGATATTCTGTCTTTGTTCACTTTTTTACCGTTTATTTGATTGCATGCCCTTGGATTTTAAGTTACCTGAATAATTATCTGAGCAGAGCTATCAAGAATATCAGTTTTGGCTGAGATAAGGGACAAAGCAAAGTGTAGGGGGTAGTCTGACATATGTACATTTCTGTGTACATTCTGCTTCTGATGTTCCTGACTTCTGTGGAGCCAGAGTTGCTTGCAGAGAGCCGTGTGTGTATGGTGATGCTTCCTGGATTTAAAATGTTTCCATGGAGTTCCTGAGAAACCACCCAAAGACTGTTCTGTGCTTGTAATGTTTTCTTTTGTTATGTATATGTATCCTGCCTTTTGGCCAGCAGTCCCCAAAGAAGCTTGTTTGTTGCCAAAGAAGCTTGCTATTGCTATGTATGCTGGTGTTAGAGGGGGTCTAATGCAGAATTGGGATTGTGATCTAGAGGTCATGTGTTGTAGGCTGTGCTGCTTAGGTCTGGTCTTGTGCCAAGGGGGAACTGTTGAAAGCTCTATGTTGTTGGAATTTAGTGTCTAACCATTATATTTGTCCACCTTAGACCGAGTTATATCAGCCATTCTGTAGCACTTGTCTAGGGACAGAAATAAAACCCTTGGAAGCCTGTCATTTTTAATTCCTGTTTTCTTTGTGATTCCTCCCCCCGCCCAAAGATTTCGTAAGATGAACAAACGTCTGGTTCCTCGAAGACCCCTGAGTGCCTCCTTAGGCCAACTGAATGAAGTGGGCTTATCTTCAGCAGCTATCCTGTCAGACGAAGGGGCAGTGGACCTGCCCAGCAGAAAACCCTCTGCCTTGCCAAATGGGATTGTTTCAGCCGGCAGTGCAGTGACACAGCTTATCTCTCGTGGAACTGACTCCAGCTACGATTCAGCACTGAAGCCTGGGAAGATCGACCACCTTAGCAGCAGTGCCCCTGGGTCACCTCCTGACTTGTATGTTCTTTCCTTGCGGTGTTTGAAATTTCGTGGGTGTGAAGGAATAGTCAGTCTGCAGAGTATGATCCATGCTGCAGAAGCAGGCTTCCATATGTATACATGGAATTCACATACAGAAGTCCTTTCCAAAGTGCTTTGCTCCCAGTAAGATGTGGATCTGAATGAACATTCATATTCAAAGGCAGATGGGAATGCACATTAGTTTACTTCACGTTTGATTTATCGTAACAGAACCTTATACACACACACACACACACACACACACGGAAACCTGTCTTCTAACATAGGTTGCTGCTCTCCCCCCCCAATCAGTGTACAGGGATGTCAAATCAGTTCTGACTTGAAATAGAACTGCAGTAGAACCATAATGGTAGCATGCCTGCTAAATTTAAAAAAGGCTCAGATTCACAGTTGTCTACAGTTTTACGGAACAGCGACTTGCTTTGACTCCTCAGTGTTAATGACAGAATAAGCTGAGTGCCATCGCCAGATGTTGCAAATGTATTCACCTTCTTCCCTTTAATGTGTTGTGGTCATGAAGCAAAGTGTAAGTCCCAGCTTTCACTGTGAGCACTGGCGTAGCTGAACTATGCAAGCTGCTGGAATCTGAGCTGGGATGTATCTGGAACACAGACCGTCTGTCAGTGGTCCCGTTGCTTCTGCATGCACTGTTGCTGGGGCAAGATGGTGGGGGAACCTATGCAGATTACTGCTTAGAAATTAAAGGGAGATTGTGAAACCGGTGTGCTTGGGATGCTTCCAAGGTTTGTTCCTGCCCTGATGTTGTGATCTGTCTCTTTTAGGCTGGAATCTGTTCCCAAGAGCTCTCTGTCTGCCTTACCAGTGAACTCTCATCCCGTGCCACCCCGGGGACCGGCAGACCTGGCTCAGATATCCGTCGGCAAGCAGCTCCAGATGGTACCACGAGGCTCCCCGTTATATCCTGCTCAGCAAGCCGATGTGTTTTACCCAGATCCTCGGGGAGCAGCCCCACCATTTGAACCCCCACCCTACCAACCAGGTAGCAATGGATGGTGGGAAACCTGTGTTCAGGCAAAGGTTTTGCGCTTTTTAGGAAGCCCTGTAACAGTAGATTTTAGGGTGTCCGTTATTGGTGCTTTGTTTGCCGGCCTTTTTATGCAGCATGCTGGATAAAAAGGGTAATCTTACTAGGTGCTGTAGCAGAATGGAGAGGGATGGGTGGATACCAGTGACAGGCCTGTTTGTCTGCAGTGCAAACTATCAGGCAGTCAGGCATCGCAAGCAGAAAGGAGCAAGACCATAGGGAGTGTCTTGTAGTTTCATTAACAGCAAGGTCTTTCACTTGCTCATCAGGGAAGATGAGGTAGATGTTATTTAAGCCTTGGTTTTCCCATAGTGGTGATCCTATCTGTCAAGATCCTGCGGCAATAATCAGCAATATTGGATTTGCTTCCTTAAGGCTCTCTTCCGCACCCACAAATATTCCACCTGACTGCTTGGAGGACAAAAGGCGTGCTCTTCTAGAGACCTGTTACCACCATCTCAGTGTTAACTCTGTTCTCCTAACATCCTAAAGATAACACCATTCAGGCCTACCACACACCGGTGAAAACCTTTCTGACTTGATACAATCCTTGAGCCCTGCCAGTTTCAATCAGTTATCTGTTTATTTCTCCAGAATGGTTTAGTTGCCAGCCTGCAGTGTAACTTGAGAAAATTTGCGTTTTAGTGGTTTTTGAGATATATCGGCCAGAAGAAGGAAGCTCCTTATTTCATCCCATCCTCTGATGTGAATTCTTGCGAGCCTCTACCTTGATCTCCTTGCCTGACCATTGTTTGCTGTCTTGGGAGCTCTATATAGTCTTACTACAACAGCTGCTTTCTCAGAGTCCGTTTTTTGTGTCTCAAAGTGGATATGCTCACAGCTGATAGCACTCAACGTCCCCCTTCTTGTTCAACCTTGTTCTCAAACCAGTTGCTTGAGAAATATGACAGGGTAAAAATGTAAGCGGATAAAGACTGGAGAAACAAAGCTTAAATTGGCGTTATGTGCAGATGAAGCATTGTTATTTTTAGAAGATCCTGTAGCAAGCTGGGCCTTAGAGTTCCCCAATTTGGAGGTCCCTGGCCCCAAAAGTATTTGTCTTGCCTCCGCCCGGGCCAGAGCCTTCTCGACTTTGGCCCCAGCCTTGTGGAATGCTCTACCAGATGAGATCTAGCCCTGCAGATTCTGATTCAGTTCCGCAGGGCCTGTAAAACAGAAATGTTCTGCCAGGCATACAGTTGAGGGGGTGAAGCAAAGTTTCCATCTAAGTTGGCCTCCCCCCAGCTTCCCCACCACCACCAGTTATTGCATTGTGTTTGGTGTAGTGGTTGAGTGCATGGACTCTAATCTGGGAGAACCGGGTTTGATTCCCCACTCCTCCACTTGCACCTGGCTGGATGACCTTGGGCAAGCCATGGTTCTGTCAGAGCTGTTCTTGAAAAAGAGCAGTTTCTGTCAAGAGCTCTCTCCGCCCCACCCACCTCACAGGGTGTCTGTTGTGGGGAGGGGAAGGGAAAGGAGTTTGTAAGCTGCTCTGAGACACCTTTGGGTAGTGAAGGGCGGGGTATAAATCCAATATCTTCTTCTCTCCTCTTCCCTACCAGCTTTATAAACCACACAGCTTGCACAACCTCATCCAGATAAATTATGTGTCCAGCGCCTAATGGCGCCATCTGATTTTACTCTGATTGTTATTACACTAAATTGTTTTAATAATTATGATATCGTTTTGATCTATGGTACCCCGCCCTGAGCCTTGCGATGCAGGGGAGGGCGGGTTACAAGTCCAATACAATAAATAAATAAATAAAAAACAGTGCTCAAATTAGTGGATCGTTACAAAATTTGGAGAATTAACTCGGAGAAACCAACAGCAATGCCTCCTGGACGCGTTCTTATAAATCCCTCAGCATTACACTGACCTTTCATACAGTCCCACACAACAGTTTAAATATTTAGGGTTATTGATCTGTGGAAGCACAAAGGACATGGTTTCAGTTAATATCAGCACAGTGTTAAAAAGTAACCCACCTTGGAATGTCTTCCTGTCTACGAGAAGGACAGAAGTTCGCCAGGTCAGAGCTTCGTTTTCTCTTGGGGAACAAGGAAGGAGGTGGTTCAGCGCAGAGAGAATGTAGCTCCCCAGGGACTCGATTGTCATGACAGCTAATGTGATGGGATACAGAATTATTGTGTTGCTGTGAGCCCAGAGAATGTAAACAAGTAGGTATCCTAGGATTATCTCCTGGTATGTTTACGAAGAAAAGTATGTATTCTTGGAAGCTGCACTTTCCTCTGAAACATATGTCAGGTTCACATAGAAATATCTATTCCTATATGTACAGAAGGCCTGAATTAGCTGTAGTAGATCTTAGTTATGGTAGCTGCTACAAGAGTGCCCAGTTTCAGCCCTCCCAATATTGCCCCCACCATTGCTTGCCTAGCCACCCTCCCTGGCATCAACTAGCTTCTTTGAGCAGCAGAGAAGAGGAGACTAGGGATTTGTTTCTTTTCCTTCACTGTGACTTCCTGGGTCCTCCTTTCCGCTGCCCAAAGAAGCCAGGTGCTCCTATGGAGTGGAAGGGAGCGATGGATGCTCCAAGGGCTGGAACAGGGCTCTCTGGCTCATTGGCGCCACCGTCTGAGCAGACACTAGCTCCAGCTTCCACACCTAAGAACCTTCTTTAAAGTGAACTTTGGAACTTTCAGATGGGTCTTTCCATGCTCATTTTCTCTCTTAAAAACAGCAATGCATTAAAGGTTCAACATAAAAAAATTCCCCCAGATATTTCAGTATAGACACAGCTTGTGAGAGTGTCTTCAAACAATAGTGAGAAGCTGTTTTAGAAAATCAGCCCCTTTGAGATTTTCAGCATCTTTATCTGATTGAAATAACAGGGCGGGGGGGATTGCACTGGTTATCTCTTAAGTAGCTTTCAAAAATCTTATTTCACATTTCTAGGTGTGTATTATCCTACAGCTCAGTCTTCACAGTGTATGTCTCGATTTGTCCGACCTCCACCATCCGTTCCTGAGCCAGGTCCTCCGTATTTAGAACATTGCTCACCATACTTCCAAGACCGCGTGGTGAATTCTCAGTATGGCGCACAACCACAGCAATACCCTCCTATGGGACAGCCCATGTACCCTCCCCACTACGACAGCCGCCGTGTGTATCCCTCTGCTCAGCCATACCCCCGGGAAGAGATCATCAGAGGAAGCCCTGTGCCCATTGAAATTCCTCCACCAGCTGTATCGCCATATGTACCTGAAACAAGAGACAGATATCCACAAGTGGAAGGCTACTATCCAGTCAGTCCGCATCTCAGCCAGATCCGACCTTCGTATCCCAGAGTACGAGTTCTTTCTGTTTTTTCTTATTTATCAGGATGTATTATCAGTGCTTGGCATTTTTAAGGTACAATTTTCATTCTTGGGAGATTTTCCATTTTTTAGAATATGGAAGCAGAGAGAACATGAAGGGTTAAAATGACATAGATAATTCGTACTTAGATTCTCTTCTTTCTTTCTTTTTTTTAAACCCACAAATTACTAAGTAAGTGCTTTGAAGATCAGCAGTGGCTGGGGATGTGGTGTTTAACCTTTTCCTCTTGTGCCTCTTCCCCAAAGCTGTAATTAATTCCAGGAGAGGAAGAAGGTGTAGTGATTTAGAACAAAGCAAAAAGATGAATTGAGTATTCCTTCCCCATAAGTCCCACCCACCCTTGATCTTCAAAGCAGCTCTTAAAAAAAAATACTAATTTTAAAAATGCAAGAGACATCCCTCCCAATCACCTATCTCTCTCATATCGTGTTTCATTTGACCTTAGATAAATTCATGTCCAAACTGGTTTGAATCTAGATTATAGGTAAATTTACTCTGCACTAAAGTTCTGCAACATGAAAAGTTTGAGTTTTGGAAAATTTAAAAATTTTATAATTATTTTTCCCCTGGCAATTCTGGGGAAGAGGACCCTGCTTTCTAACTGCTGCAACCATAGGAATAAGGTAGCATCCCCCCACCCCCAGCACACACATGCCTTCTGTAGTTTGGCCTGGAACTCCAGTTGACATTGGCATGATGGTGCAAAGGCAGGGCCTTCTGTTTTCTCCCAGTTTCAGACTGCTCCAAAAAAAAAGGAGAGCCCAGGTGCGGGTAGGTTGGGAATCTGTTCATTGCCACCTCCCTTTCTCAGAAGCTTTGAGACTGGTGACACGAGGATCTGGTATAGTCCAGGCTTCCTTGTCTCCAAAAATCTCTAATCTAGTGAAGACCTGTTTATAAGTTAACCCTTTCCTTCACGGTAAGTGGGGTTGGTTTTTAAAACGCCATCTATTCTATGTGGAATGAACAGTCGATGGCAGTTTGTCTTCTGTAATCTGTTCCAGAGTTTTAGCGGAGCAGAATAATTTCAGCCCATTTCCCACCGAATCCCTGGAGGAGCGGAACGAGATGGTTCTGCCTGTCCCTTTGGAGGGGGTGCTATTTTTAACTCTTCTGGCTTCTGAGACTTTTATCATTCATTGTTTATATCTTTTGAGTCATACCTTTGCAGCCAGAAGAGTAGTAATGTTGCATTTTAAAAGTAAGAAATACGAAAGCTGCAATTTTCAGCTGGATTCTGCACCCAAAGAAAGAGGCCTTTCAAGTCTAGTCGGGTAGTTATACATACAGTTGAAATACAGTAGCTTGTATGCAACTTCAGAAAGCGAATATTTCGCGGGGGGAGTCATTAAAGTCAGTTTTCCATATTTAAATTTGCAAAAATCAAATTTAAATACAGGATGAAACTACTTTTAGTGATATTGTGGAATTTGAAGTAACTGTCCAATTTTATTTGTCCAAATGCAGTATGTTAAAATGTGTTCCTTTTTTGACCATGTAAAAATTGATATGGTTCATTCCTTATGCGCTTTAAATATTTTCATTACAAGCATCCAGGAACCGAGTAAACCACAGTTGATAGAAAGATAATAGCCCTCTCTCGGCTCTAATTTGGAAACATGGGCTACTTTCTTGTGTTGCTAAGTGATTTCCCCCCCTTTGGAATGTATCATTTCAGTATGAAGGACTTTAGTTCTAATGAGTACTGAAATCAGACAAAAAAACATGGTTGTGAGTTCCCCCCTCCCAAATTACTGTGTAAACTTGGTCAGCCTCATTTATGTTAATGTAGTTTAGGGATTCCCAAATTTGTTGAGCCTGTGGGCACATTTGAGTTTTGAAAACAGGCAGTTGGTCTCACAAAAAATGGTTGCCATTTGTGGGGCATACTGACCACAAAATGGCTCTCATGCAGCCAATCACACGGTGATGGGAGGTTCCAAGCTAAGTGTCCTCTTACGATGGCACAGCTGTTTCCAAAAGCACCCCCCCCTTGCAGACATAAAGCCAATTCACCCTGGTATCTTCTGAAGCCCTTCCTGTTCCAGTGAGATGGAGGAAAGCCAGGATTGATCCTTTGGTTTGGCAGATGCTTGGGGGCAGAAGGACATGGGCACCAAGAAATACATTGGCAGGCACCATGGTGCCCACATGCACTGTGTTAGAGCTCTCCGATCTAGCTGCTGTTCTAGATTACCCCTAAGGCTAGGGCCTGCATCCATTGATTCGCTGGATGTACAGTGCAGAGTTGCTTGTGTCTTTAAAAACTGTTTATAAATGAGCCTCTGTAAAAAATCTCCAGGAGCCTTATGGCCGGCCTCCACCTCAGCCACACCCCAGCCTAGATGAACTGCACCGTCGTCGGAAAGAGATCATGGCTCAGCTAGAGGAAAGGAAAGTCATCTCCCCTCCTCCTTTTGCACCGTCACCAACTCTGCCTCCCTCTTTCCACACTGATGAGGTGCGTGTGTTTGTGTTTTTCTTCAGCACAGCTGTTGAGTTGCTGCTGCTGTGGTGGTGGTGGGGGAGGTATGCTGAACTGAGAACCAAATGTGACTAGTTGGGTCTGCGGGGGGGGGGGGGGGGGAGGGGGGAATGTTTTGGCCTGGTACCATTGTTCCCTCTAAGCTGAGTTATTGTGAGCTGGCTCATAGTTTTTTAGCCTCCAGCTCACAGATCTTTGTCTCAGTTCAGGGAGGGCTCCAGAGCAAACTAATTTATGTTGTAGCCAAATCGCTCGCTCACAACTTTAATGCCGGTAAGCTCAAAAACCAGAATTTTTGCTCATAGGACTCCACAGCTTAGAGGGAGCATTGCCTGGTACCTAAAGCAGAACAAGGTAGGCGGGAGGCAGGCCGCATGCGCAGGGAAGGCTCTTTTACTTTTGGGGGGATTTAAATATCCCCCCTATATATTTTTTCTACTTTTTAGATTTTTGTGCACACCTGGGGACTGCCCCAAGTGTGCAGGAAAATCTCCCTCCCCCCCCCAGGTGCCCCCGATATGCGGATTTAGATATCCGCACATAGGGGGTGCCTTCATTATTGGATATATAGATAAAAATGTATCAGTTCTGTCAAATGTTTGCAGCTACTGATCTCACAGCTGTCGTGTAGAATTTGTTCTGCTTTCGGATGGTTTTCTTTTAATACGTATTTCATTGGGACTCTACTGTAATTGGGACACTGCAACTTTTTGACAGAAAAGTTTTATATACATATTGGCTGGGCTCTAAAGAGCTGCTTAGGCTCATGCAAGGTGGCTCACTCTAGCCCAGTGAAAGCTTTTTACTCTCTGTGGGTTGTAACCAATGCTCCCTCTAAGCTATGGAGTCTTGTGAGCCAAAATTCTACTTTGTGAGCTACCGGCATTAAAGTTGTGAGCGAGCGAGTTGGCTGCTGCATACATTAGTTTGCTCTGGAGCCATCCTTCCTGAGCGAAGACAAACGTGTGTGAGCCGGAGGCTAAAAAACTGTGAGCTAGCTCACACTAACTCAGCGTAGAGGGAACACTGGTTGTAACCTGCCTCTTCCAAATCCAAAGCACTTTTCTGAGAAATTCCCCTCTGATTCAAAAGACATTATCTCTGTAGCATAACAGCTAATGTTGGAGGGAAACACTGGACGCCAGATAGGTTGAAAAAGTGTTACGTAACCGTTTCTGGAAACTGCTGGAGGTGTAAAAATAATAGAGGAACATACCTACATATATGGTGGACCTGTGACAAAATTCAATCAAAGATTCTGGAAGACTACCAAACAGTTGATAAAAGATATCACAGAAATAGATCTACCTGTAAATCCAGAATTTTTTCTATTAAATATTACACCCAATGGCATTAAATATAATGAAAAATGTATTATTGTTTATTTAAATACAATGGCAAGAATATGTATTGCGAGAAACTGGAAATCAGATACTATACCAAATAGGGAAGAAATGATTGATAAACTTTTTGAGATAATGGAAATGGATAAGTTGCACATGTTGTTGGCTGGAAAATTAGAAGACAAATTTAACAAGAAATGGCATAAAGCCATTAAATGGTATGAGGCAAACTTGTAAACCCCCCAAATGTAAATGGAAATGGAGGTATGAATGTATGATGAAAACCTGAAAATAAACGTTTTAAAAAAAAATATCATTGTTATTGCCAGTCCCCCTGCCCCCTTTTCCCTTTCCTAAACTCTTAGTATTTGTGTTTGTGCAGTACATGGATGAAGACCTGAAGTTAGCTGGCAAATACAAAGGAAATGATTACAGCCAGTATTCTCCTTGGTCATGTGACACCATCGGCTCCTACATCGGAACCAAAGATGTAAAACCCAAAGACATTGTGGCAGCAGGGACTGTGGAGATGGTGGTAAGCCTGCAGGCATGATTTACACAGACAGTGCTAAAGAGAGAAAGGGGTGTGCTGTACGTTCACAGAATTGGCATGATGTGGATGGACGGACAGACAGACAGACAGACAGATATGCAAATAATCCTAACTCTGAATAATCTGTTCCTGTCATGGTGACTTTTTGACAGGATCCTTAAGATTGCCGTTCGTGATGAGGTACAGTTTCTGGGGTCTTTTTTCCTGGTTCTTAGAAAGTCAGTTGAAACGCCAGATCAAGCCATGGTTAAGGAAGCTTAATGGTAGTTTCCCAAATTGATGATCTGTAGTTGCAATTAGCCACCAAACTACTGTTGTAAAGTGGATTTATAAACTATGGCTTTATGCAGTGTCTGAACTGACAAATATCATTATGGCCATCACTGTGCCCCCAGAGGCAGTAGCATTATGGAGCTGAGAGTGAACGTGTGACGCTTCTGTCTCTGCTGTGGTTTTGATTGTTTGTTTGTATCTTGTTTTAATGAATTTGATTGTTTATCTTGTACGTTTTTAGTATTTTTTTATAACAACTGTTAAAAACCTCCTTGGAGATCTTCCATTCTTCATATGTCTTGGTGAGGAGTTTTCACCAGAGATGAAAGAATTGAGGAGGTTGCTTCTCATTGCCTCTCTCCTTCCCTTCCTCCATTTTCTCAGAACGTGGATAGCAAAGGGATGCGAGACCAGCGGTTGGATTTGCAGAGGAGAGCAGCAGAGACTGGCGACGACGATCTCATTCCATTTGGAGACCGGCCCACCGTCTCAAGGTTTGGTGCAATCTCACGTACGTCTAAAACTATGTACCAGAATCCCGGGCCCATGCAAGCCATGACAGTTCAAGGAGCTTCCACAAAACCAGTCAACATTTCAGGTATGAACATGCGCCTTCAGGACTTGGCTCCTCGTACAGGTTTTTTTATACCGCCATTATAGCTCAGGCACAGAAGGGCTGGTAGTTGCTAATAGAGATGGAGAAGGAGAGGTGCGGGATTGGTGCATGATCACACCCGCTTCACAAGAAGTGGTGTCATTAGATTTGGAAGTCAGCCTCAGGGCTGCCTCCCTTCAGCTACATTCCCCTTCACTACATTTAAGCAAATTGTCAACACTAGGGTTTCTCTTTAAACCAGGCTTTTGGCTGAGTTCAGACATCATGGGTGGACTGGTGTTGGTTCATACCCATCATAAACCTAATCAATGCGTGTTCTCTCCTGGAAGTCTTCAATTGACACCTTAACTACTGGAGGTTAGTTTCTATCCCAGTTCCTGGGGAAGAAACGAGCTTCCATTTATTGAGGTACCTGCACTCAGACGTCCCAAGTAAATTTGAGTTAGCTGAAGCCTTAGCGCCCTGTGAAAGAAGAGGGAAGGTGTGCAGGTGAGCCTGACAGTTAAACAGCTTCATACCTGTTGCCAGTGAATTCCAATTGCATTTGTATTTAGCCTCTGAAAATTCATTCAGACGTGGTTAGCCTTAACAGTGATTACAGGGACTGGGTTGGATCCAGCAGATGATTTCGACAAATGGAGGGAGAGCAATTTTCACCAGTTCCTCGTTCTCATTGCAGCCCTCTGAACCCCCCCCCATGCTATTTGGAGGGGAGGTGGCCCTGTCCCTTGGAACAGCATTTCTGGGGGCATTCTGGGCTATGGTGGAAGGAGAGAGACAAGAAAGTCATTCTCTGCTGTCAGAAATCCCAGAAATAAATTTTCAGTGAATCCAACCCTGGTGGTGGTGGTGGTGGGGATTTGTTTCAACTATAGGGTTGGGGGGGGATTTGTTTCATGGAATGTAGACTTAGAAAGAAGAAGGAGGGTTTGTCAAATGTTGGTTTACAGGGTCTTTTTTACGTTGTTTCAGAAAAAAAGTGGTTTGTTTTTTTTAATTCTGTCCTTTCCCTTTTTACAAATTTTGGTTTGTTCTTCCTCTGCCTCCTCTTTCTAGCAGTGAGCTCTTCAGCCTGTTTTCTTCCCCAACCACCAAAGGTTTTAGGGTGTAGGGTTTTATTAAACCCAAAGCAATGAACAACATTGCAGGCTTCCATAAACTTTTTTTTGCCTTTTATTTCTAGCATAAGAGGGGGTAAATGGGTTATCTTCAATGGGGTGCGGTTGCAAAGGCAATTATTCACGAGTGTAATACTGCATATAGGGCTGTCTTAAAAACCAGGCAGCCGTAGCGTCTATGTAACATAACCAGCTTTGATAAACCAGCACTGTTTAAATAGGGCTTTCCAATTGCCTTGTAGATTACAGCCCTTATGGAACACACAGCGCATGGGGAGGCTCACCATATGCACCCCACCCAAACCTACCTTCTCAGGGACGCCTTAGTGACAGGTAGGAGTATGTGAACTTGCTATTCGTGGCTAAGCATGCTATGTGTGTGTGTGGTGGAGGGTTGTGTTTTGTTTGTTTTTGACCTCCAGCTCTCTGAGGAGGGAGACCTCTTGCTTCTTACCAATCTCTTCCATTTCCCCAAAGGGAAAGATTGTCCATAACAGATGCAGCTGGCCATGGGAAGCCTTTGCCCTCGGCCGAGAGGGAGCAGCAGCTTCGGCTTGAACTGCAACAGCTAAACCATCAGATCAGCCAACAGACACAACTTCGAGGACTGGAGGTGTGTACTTGTATCCCCTGGGATTTATTTTTAAAAGAAATCATTGGAGAAACTAAATATGAGAGAGAGGGAGAGTACTTTAATATAAACATATCCTCCTTGGATCATGTTGGAGTGAAGAATTTGTCCGTTGCTTTTTAAGAAGTGTGAAACAAGGGAAGTAGTTTGCCCCATTGTTTTCCTGCAGACGTCTGTTTCTGTGTTCTTTTTGAATGTGTGTTCAGTCTCTGTCTTTTAGAAATGTGTCTTTTAGACATGTGCAAGTTTTATTGTCCTGGTGTTGATGGAGCGGGGTGGCCTTCATAGTAATGGGATTTTTGGTGCTTATTTGTTCTGTGTTGTGTCATTTAGTGGCACTTGACTGCCTAACCAGCACAGACCCTATAATAGCTTTGCCCAACTTACTGAAAAGCCCTCCTTGGAAGCACTGCGGTGGCTTTGGTTTCTTGGGAATGATAGGAGCAGCCAATGGTATTTATAGCTGTAATTCAGGCTCATCCCAGAAGAGCAGTATCCTCACAAAAATAAACTGGAGAAAAGATTGTGAGGAGTGGGAGAGCCTGAAGGAGCTTTAATTCAGACGTCTCCTCTGCAACAATCATTTGTAAACTTTATTATAAGGAGGGGTAGGCAACCCCTGTCATGCATGCCTAACAGCAGCACAGCAGACTGCTCCACATACCCTGCCAGTTCTCCACCCAAGGGACCAGAGTGAGCCCCCAAGAGCTCAGTTTATTCCCAGTGTGTCCTGGCCAAGAACTACCTTAGCTGTGTCTCCCCCCACCCCACTTTGTTTGCCAGCCCACTAACAGCTTCACAGTTAGACATTATGGGTTTGCCTACCCCCTGTTCTCAGAAGATCTGGTTTACCTGAGTGGGAAAGAACATTGGGTAGTGAGCATGAACTTGACTGCTCCCTTCAGAGGCTGTGGTAGGAGGGAGAGGTGGCACGTTTCTCAGTCGCTCCACTAAACAATCCCTGGGAATTCTCGTGCTCCTGTTCAGAACCAGAGACAAATCAGTGCTCGAGTCTTGCATGCCTGCCTCCACTGATGCTGTAGCAGAGGAGTATTGGATGGCTTAAAAAGACCTGGCCTGACTGCCTTTGTTTTTATTTGTTTATTTAATTATTTATTAACCTGAAGCTGAACTAGGTGCTGCACATCTTTAAAAACTGTCCCTACATGGGTGTTCTTGACAGACAGACTTTCCCATGAAATGTGTTAGATTTGTTCCTTGAGTAATAACTGGGCCTTGGTGATGAAACCAGTCAAACAGATGCTCATTTATATAATTAGGTAAAGGTAAAGGTTTCCGTTGCTCGAAAGCCAGTCGAATCCGACTCTAGGGTTGCGGTGCTCATCTCCATTTCCAAGCCGAAGAGCCAGCGCTGTCCAAAGACGTTTCCATGGTCATGTGGCCGGCATGACTAAACGCCAAGGCGCACGGAACACTGTTACCTTCCCACTGAAGCGGTACCTATTTATCTACTTGCAATTTCTTGCTTTCGAACTGCTAGGTTGGCAGGAGCTGGAACCAGAGACGGGAGCTCACTCCGTCATGCGGCACTTGGGTGTCGAACTGCTGAACTACCGACCTTCCAGTCTGCAGTTCAGCGTCTTAACCACTTGAGCCACCACAGCTCCTTTTTATATAATTAGATAGTGCCAAATGGCTTTTCGGATACAGCCATGTAGCGTTTAATGCACATGCAGTGCTGTGCTGCAAAATAGTTAATTATGTGGATTTTTAAAAATGTTAACGCCAAAACCGCTGAGAGCCATTGCGGGCCCCCAGACAAAGGTTCTCTGAGCCCCTCTTTAAAATCTCCAGACCCAATGCAAGCATCTTATGGAAACAAACTACATGACTTGCTCAGATCTATGGGGCCGCAAGGCTTTGGTACTTGTAGTTTTCCCCCCACTTTCAGCCACCCTCCATATTGCAGTGATTTTCAAACGCTGACCCTTTCTGTAGTGACTAGATCTGCTGCAAAAGCCATTGCTGAGGGATACGGGACTCGCTCCTGAGTTGTAGTCAGCTCTTGCAGAGCATTGACTCAGACCTCTTGAGCTGTATCATTGTCCTGCATGAACTGTATGCTCATTTTGGAATGTAGTTCTCCTACAGTTACACACTGCAGAGGAAGATGGGTAGTGGTAGGGAAACTCCCTCTCAAGGAAGCTAGCCTGTCATTATTGATTTTTAATTGAGGAATGCCAGGGTTCTCCAGAACAAAGTCTTTTAGACTACTGCCTTAGATCAATGGAGGACCGCTGGCCTGCAGTTAAGATTAAGCTCTTTAAACATACGTTATGGTATGGATGCTGCAGGACAGATACTTGGTGAAGCAAGGCAGCAGCAACTTGTGATAATCTTGGCTGCAGGCGAAATCTCTGTGACTCTTTGAGCAAGGCTGTTTAACGACCTGATGCCCTAGACGTCTTTACCGTTTGGGCTATGGCTGCTTTCATGAGTGTTTGCACATAAATAATGGGTCTCATCCAGCTATTCAATCAAACTGATTGGCAGTCATCTAAGGACATCCAAAAGAAGAGTGCTACTTCAAATGATACCGCCACAAGCAATTCACTGCCACAGGATGGAGTGATGGCCACCGGGCTTAGAATGCTTTATGGTGGGCAGATCTATCAGTGGTTCTGAGCCACAGTAGTTAATCATAACAGCTGTACTTGGAAGAAAAATAGCTCCAAACACCAAGCCATGGGGATAAACCATAGGGTGTCTGTTTCCTTTATGGCCTGCTTGTGCGTTTCCTGAAGATATCTGGCTGCTGCTGGAAGCGGAAAGATGGACCATTGGTCTGATTCAGCTAGGGTTTCCATGTGTTTTTATTCAGCCTCTGGGGGTCTCCTGTTCATAGCTTAGCTAGCTTAGAGCAAGGTTGCAGGGGGGCGAAGTTAATAATTGACAGAACCTGGGCGGGGGGAACATGCTGAAATCACCTTTACATGCCTGCAGATCTTTTTTTTAAAAAAAAATAGCGGCCTGTATATTCTGTATAAGAGGAAGAAGGGCTGGGCTTTAGAAACCAAGCAATACTCCTCCACTTTGGGCCTGATTCCCCTGTCTGCCTGAATGTGTAGTTTGTGTGCTCAGTTGTCGTATGTGCTTGGCTTTGTGCATTTAGGCTGTTAGTAACAGGCTGCTGTTGCAGAGGGAGGCGACCACCTTGGCAGGCCAACCACAGCCCCCACCGCCACCTCCCAAGTGGCCTGGAATGATCTCGAGTGAACAGCTGAGCTTGGAGCTACACCAGGTGGAGAGGGAGATCGGGAAGAGAACCCGGGAGCTGAGCATGGTGAGTGCTTTGGGCGGTGGGGCAGAGGAGCGCTGGGAGAGACCGCTGCGCTGGGTGAGTTGTGGAGCTGCTTTGTGTGCTGCGGGAAGGAGCTCTGCCGGATGGCTGCTTGCTGGTGCTAGCCATTCTTCCCGTCCATCTTTCTGGAGCAAGACAGACTTGAATTTCCTGACTTTGGGTTGCCTGTGTAGTTTGTTTTTATTTGTAATGCAATGCTAAGGATACTTCATGAGCTGCCACTGTGGGGGGGGGCGGGCGGGGGGGGGGGGGGGCAGGCGGGAGTGGGGGGCGGGGAATGGAAATCTCAGCAAATTCTTCCACTGGCAGAAGACAGTTCACTCTTTGGCCGTAGCTACATGCTAGGCTGCAGCTGGCAAGCAACATCTGTTCAACAGCATCTAGAAGGGGGCCATGGTTTCCCAGCCTGTGGTGATGGACTTCTTTGGTCTGTCTTTGCTGCTTGATACCTGTGATTTTGGGATGTTCTGTATCCCGGTAGAATGGGCAGGTAGCTCTCTAGGCGTATGTTCTTTTGTCCTGTGGCTTTTGCACAAATAAGTCTGTACAATATATTCTGGTTTTTACAGTAGTCCCCTTTTTTCGTTCCCTGTGAGAAGGAACTCACAGAAGTTTTGTTGCATGTGGTGAAACGAAGATGATCGTCCTTTTTTCCTTTTCCCCAAGGAGAGCCAGTCTTCCCTGGAAGTGAAAAGCAAACTGGGTGCCAGTAAGCAAACAGAAAACGGGCAACCAGGCAAGGTGCCAGCTGAGGACCTTGCGCTGGCATTCAGGTAACAAGAGTGCGACTTTTGTGAGTCCTTTTAAAGGGTAAAGGCGTGAAACAAGGGGTACAGAACGCAAGTCGAACTGATTGAAATACGCAGCTTATAATGTCGCCATCAGTGACTTATAGATGTCTGTGACATTTAATGTCATGGTGAACTTTAGATTTTTGGTGTGGGGGGGAGACATGCAAATCTGAACATGGCTCAGGTTATTTTTCATGGTAAACCACGTGGCTGGAAGCATGCAAAGCTACGGTGGGAGGAATTGTTTATTTTTAAATATATATATATATATATACTCTGCATTCATTGGATGCTTGAGGCATCTCACAACAATCTTGAACCAATGTATCGGTAAAACAGATTGAAAACTAGCTTGAAAGGCCAGGGAGCAAGAGAGATTCCTAACACAGCATCTCAGAAAGCAGAAGAAGAACAGCTTTGTCGGAAGATGGAATGAGGTTTTTTCCCTGCCTCAAAATATTGGTTAATGAACCAGCATTTTCTGCATTTGTTGATCTGAAGGAGAACTTTTAATATTTTATTTATTTATCTGTGGTATTTATAATCCGCCTTTCTTGTGGACTCAAGGTAGATAACACATAGTGAGTCAGTACAGCCAACGAAAATGGGGCATTCAGTAACCAGTGCATTAGGATCTTGGAAGTCTGGAACCAGCAGAAGGAGCTGCAGTGTAGCATAAGTATTAATGTGACACATTAAGCGGTACAGAGATTACATAATAGGATCCTACTTACAATAAGCTATATGCAGCAGTATGGGCCACAGTCCCTAATCATTTATCCAAGTAAGTCTGTGAACCACTCTGTACAGTGCAACCCTGTTACCTGCTCAGAAAAGCCCCCTTGAATAGTTCAGTTTTGTATGGTTTGTAGAAAGCCAGGAGCTTTCTTGACCTCCTTGGGCCGGCTGTTCCACAAGGTGGGAGCTACATTGTTGGGTCCTTTAGAAGAAGAAGAAGAAGAAGAAGAGATTGGATTTATACCCCGCCCTTCACTTGGAGTCTCAGAGCGGCTTACAAACTCCTTTCCCTTCCCCTCTCCACAACAGACACCCTGTGAGGTGGGTGGGGCTGAGAGAGCTCTGACAGAAACTGCTCTTTTTCAAGGACAGCTGTGCCAGAGCTTGTGACTGACCCAAGGTCACATCAGCAGGTGCAAGTGGAGGAGTGGGGAATCAAACCCGGTTCTCCCAGATTAGAGTCCGCACACTTTACCACTACACCAAACTGGCTCCATATCATGTTATCAAAACCTGTAGTATAATAATAATAATGACCATTGCTGGAGATGTTTTTTGAGGAAATGCTGATTTCTCACATGTGGTGGGTATGTTTTGGTATCCCACAATACTGGGAAAAATGATAATGAAATAAAATGAAAATCCCCCCCAAAACAACAACAACAACACACATTTTGCTCAGTGCACTGCTAAGTACTTCCTTTTTATTCAGTGGGAAAGATCTAAGGGTGCATTTGACCCGTAGAATCAGTTGGAATGAATAATGCTGATGTTAGTGCTGGAAGGGAAGGAGGCATGGTAGAACCCCATCTTGTCAAATCTCAGAAGCTAAGCAGGGTCAGTACTTGAATGAGAGGCCACCAAGGAAGGTTCTGCAGAGGAAAGCAATCGCAAAACCACCTCTGCTTCTCATTTGCCTTGAAACACCTTGCTGGGGGTCACCAAGTCGGCTGCAACTTGAAGCCACTTTACACACACAGCATTAGTGCCACTGTACCTGTTTTCTTTTGGTTCTTTAAGCAAGTGAGTGGTAGAATTAGAAGCGTCACATGCTTCCAGTTTCCCCCCCTCCTTACCTGTATTGTTCAGTGACTGAGTGAGCATATTGATCTGTAGTCACCAAAACAACAAGGAACTGTGATGGCACTACTGTTGTGCTACTCTGCCTAGCCTGCTGCCCTCACTAAATCCTGTACACAAGCTGATCTCTCGACTCATTTGCTATCTTAAAACTGTTATCTAATTATTCAAAGAAAGATGATTATTTTTATTTAACTGTCACGTAACCCAGTCTCATCAGATCTCAGAAACTAAGCAGAATCAACTCTGGTTAATATTTGGAGGAGAGACCACCAAGTAATACCAGGGTTTCTACTCAGAGACAGACAATGGCAAACCATTGCTGAATGTCTCTTGCCTTGAGAACACCATGGGGTCGCCCTAAGTCAACTGCAACTTGACGGCAAAGAAACAAAAAAAATTGCCAAAGTTGTGTTTCTCTGTCCGTGCTATGCTCAGGTAAGTGCCACTATCATCCCACATGAGTTGGTTCACTGCAAAATGTGGATGAGCAAATCCAAATAGATTGCATTTGACCATATCAAGCAAAGAAATAAATACAAACGTGCCCTCCCTCACTGCAAGAATGAATCTGGTGTTCCTGTTATTTTATGTGTTTTGGTGATTTACTACTGTACCATGGGTGAAAGCAAGCATACATTCTAATGTGTGTTAAGTTTCAGCTTGCATTCTCTACCCCCAAAAACTGATGCCTCAGAATGCATCAAACATGAGTCAAAACCACGCCCACTGCACTTCAAAGCACATGTCTGTCTTTACCCAGCATTTCGTTATGGCCATTGGGGCTGTTTCTAATTTATTTAAAATACTTACATCCTACCATTTTGTCCAAGGCAGCTAAAAAATGAAGCAATTAAATATTTAAGTCTAATAACAAGGAACACTGACTTAGCCAGCCCATGACCATCCAGTCCCCCTCCAACAATGAGCAAGCAATCAGACAGTTGTAAATCCCTTCCAACCAGATATCTTCAAACCTCTTCCTAAAAGTCATCAAAAAGAGTGCCCTTATGTTCTCTGGTTGACCATTTCATAGAGTTGACAGCACGACTAGAAGCAGTGGGTTCCATGCGCGACCATCTGTCTGTGGATAGCCACTGACTGGAGCTGTACAGCTTGCTCTGCTTGGGATTTCTTCTCAAGGTTACCCTCTTAATTTTATTAAATCTCTGTCTCCCCCCCCCCCTCTGTATCCTTTTTCCTGTTTTGACATTCGTTCTTCAGCAGTGATGTTCCGAATGGATCAGCCCCAACCCAAGAAAATGTCGGCCTCCTCTCAAACAAAACTGCAGCTCTGAGCTTGTCAGAGGACACCGAAGGGGGAGGAGGTGAGCAGGACACCCAGAGGGCAGGGACAACATCCACATCTGCTCCCTGAAGGAACAAAAAGCATCCCTCCACTTCTGTCGGGGGTCACCTCCCCCCTCCTCCTCGGGATGATGGGAGACAGCAAGAACTCAACGGCAGCAGGTCCGGAGATAATGTGCACAACACCACTACTAGAAACAAACCCTGCACATAGTTCACATTAACACATTTTTTAATTAAAAAAAAAATGAAAATTAGCAGTATCTGCAAGCAACTCAGATTAAATTTGTTTTTGTTCTGTGAATGAACTTTGTTTTAATAACTTTGGATGCCTTGAATGCCAGGGCTTTAAAAAAAACAGATATTATATATATATATATACACACTCTGTTTGATTAATTGTATGATCTTAATGAGGTAGGTTTTCTCTTTTATTTTGGTATTATTACATACCCAGTGTATAAATCCTTTTAGGTCTCTTTGCTCCTCCCTTTGCAACAAACTCACTGCTTTTGTATGAGTTTGAAAGGAAAAAATGGGGAATGCGAGATGGAGGAGGAAGCTTTGACTTGCTCGGCTGAAAAATGTGTGGGCGGAGATAATCTGAAAGTAGCTCTCCTTGAAAACTGTACCCTTTTCTTGACATTTATTCATCAGCCTTTCCTAAACGTTGACAGCTATTAAGATACAGTCTTGCAGTTTTATCAACTTGGCAATAGCAAAACTCCATACAGGCCTCAAAAGAGTAAAAACTGGAGTGGGGGAGTTCTCTGTTTCTGAAGGGAGCAGAAGGCTCCTGAAACCATATAAATTGGTTAATGTTGCTTAATTCTGTCTCTCAGGATAGGTGGCAGATTTGTTTAGAACCTGGATCTAAAGAGGTATCTGCAGATGGATGCAGCGGTTTCCTCTGCGGTAGAGATGCAGGGGCGAAGCAGAAATGGGGAGCAAAGGTCTCCCTGTTTTTCTGTCTTGTTGAAAGTGAACCTTTTGCATTTTTGTACACCTTCAGTGGAGAGATATACACTGTCTAAATGCCGGGGGTTGGGGGTGGGGAGTGTATCTGCTCCAGGGAGGAACTACAAAAAATTCTATTTTGGATGAGATGGGAAAACAGAGACAAGAAACTTTTGCCTGCTGTGCCCTCCACATTTTTCGCTACACCCAAAGCTGCTTTTTTATCCCCTTTAATCATTAACCTTTCTTTGGCAATTGACAAAACATTTTTGAGAGCTGAGGCTCCCTCTATGTAAGAGAAGACCCCACACACACACACACACACACTCCCCCAGAAAGATATCCCTTCCACAACTTTACTGCAAGCAAACCTGTCAAGAATCTATATGGGATGAAACACTTCCCATTTCTACTAGTAGCGCTTCATGTAAGACTGGCTGTAAAAACCCTTCCCTGCGAAGTGTGTGTGTGTTCTACATATTTGTCACCTCCTCCTCTCTCTGCCCCCTTCACCTCCTCCACTTTTAGATGGACCCTGAGAGAGGAGAGAGAGAGAGATATCTCAGCAAAGGCTTCCTCCCATCTCTTAGGCTTGCGTCTCCCATACAAAACTACGACTACTAAATCTCAGACAGCACTGGCTATGTAATAAATTGCAGCGTTGCTTTGGTTGGGTAAAAGCAGAAGTTTATTCATCTTGTTTTAGGGTTGTTGTTTTCTCCCCCTCTTCCCTTCAACCCCTTGTTGAGGTCACAGTAACCTTCAGCTAAGCTTTGCATCTGTCTGTCTTGTTTAAAAAACAAAATTGGGGGTGGGGAGTACAGTCCCCTCATTGCCTACCAGTAGGAGAGTCCAAGCAGAAGACTCTTTTGAGTAGTGATTATTTAATTTGCCCAGTCAAGGCACCGCATTTATATACTATTTCACATTGAATTTGATTATGCCCTATAGACCTGGCTGGCCAAAAATTTGATACACATATTGGCTTGGGATTCGAGCTTTCTTTTTTTTTAATTTAAATTAAAAAAATTATATATATGTATGTATATATACATATATATGTAATTATATCTGTATATATATATTGGATATGTTTTAAGAATTATTTTTCACATGAGTGCAGCTGTTGTCATCTGGGAGGTAGAGGCACTCACCCACCCACCCCGGCTCTAATGTCACAAAGTCCGGGTAGAAATCTCTGTTCCTCTTCTTTTCTGAGAACTGCTAGTTTGAGAGAGCCTATCACATCTTCCTGGTAGGGAGAATGAAGCATAGACTTGTGACTGATCAAATGAGGAAGCACCAGCTAGCAAAAAATTATCTTCCTCCTGAAATCTCCCCCTTTTCAGGTAGCAAGGTATTTATTGTTCCGCGTGGAAAGGGGCAAGCCCAGGATACAGATTTTCTCACCTTTTGTCTAGAAGTTAAAACATGTTAGTCTCATCATGTCGTACGAACTGCACCGTTCCGATCCAATTAGAAAGTCGGGTTTGGCGAAACAGCAGAATGGGCTTTCTATTTTGAGGAGCCCTGCAGATTAATTTCTGACGACTAGGGGGCGAGATTTCGTAGCAGAGACTTCGAGCAGTCCGAGCACAGTGATACGCCCTGAGCGTGAACTGCAAAGAAGGCCTCTTAATAGTGTGTGTCCCCCCCCCCCGTCCCCATCCCCTGCTTTTCTGGCACTGTCCTTTGTGCACAGTGTCCTTGTTATGCTGTCTATCTAGGTTAATGTCCTGTTTGCACGAGCAAATATTCCTGTTTAACCTCTGGAAACCACATCGATCTTGGCCTAGTTTCTTTTTTTCATTCTTTCTGTGTCTGTGTTTATGTGTGAGAGAGAAGTTTAGTCAATAAAAGTGGACCCACAGAGGAAAAAGAGGGGCTTTTCCGAAACTAAGCTGGGGAAATGTGCTGGCCGTTAGGTAGAAGAATCTGTAGCACCAACACTTCTTCCGTTTATAATAGTCTTACCCCAGGGCCTGCACTCAGGAACTTTCCAGTGAAGGTTAAAGAGCCGGTGTGACCATTGCTTCCCAGCAGGGAGGTGGAGAAACATGGTTAAATGTGAGCATCGACGGTTGCTCAGCAGCTTCAGTGGTTTCCAAAAAAGTGGTTTTCAGGACCTTTGCTTTGGAGTTAAATTCATAAACTTGAGAAATGGGGCCTGTTGGAGTTCCTCTCCCCCATCAAAGGAGTGTTGTTGTGGTTTTTCTTGTTTTTCTTGCAGTTCCTTTTGTGCAGCAGAATGTCTCAGCCCTGCTCCACGCTGTTGTGGAAAATGCAGTAAGGGACGGAGCTGTCACGTGGGATTCAGAATCTATTTGTCAACTTCAGATGCCATGTACTTTTGGACTCTGGACAAGTCTGAAAATCTTTGTCTTGTGATAACTAGGGAAACAGGGCAGCAGTCACATACATGACAGTGTCCTAGATGAAGCCTTAAGACTTCCTCCACCCTTCATTTATAGTGTATGTCAGTGACCAGCACATTTTTTCTAGTGAACGGTCTCAGGTCTGGTCTCTGCAGACTGCCACTTGCACTCCATTATGTTGCTGACAATACGGTTCCAATTTTGTTCGCTTCACTTTAATCGTTGTTCGAGCCCGCTGAACAACAACAACATCCATTAGCCTGATATTTCAGTACAAAGGATGTCCTACTGACATATAATCAAGCACTCCCTGCTTTTTTGGAACAGAAAATATTCCCGTACAAGTTGATGGAAGACCACATGTTCATGCATGGAAATGTAACTGAGGGCTCATGTTTCAAAACAGCATTTAAGATATCTGATTCACTAAAAACAGAAGTGTAACACCCATTTCCCCTGAATAATGGAAGTGGGTTTTTTTTATGCTTGCTGGTTTGTCAATACCTCTTAGCGATCTTGGCTAGTAAGAACTTGGCAGAATCCTTCCTGCTTTCCTAGGTGGTTCTTCTCTTGCTGTTCCCTCTCTTTAAACATGCTGCTCGCCATTCCTGATCATGCGCCAGTTGACAGCTTGCTGCCTCAAAACCGAGCATTCAAATGAATTCGCTTAGCCAATAACTTCTGTGAAGTTGCCTTTTCTAATGGTGTTATTACTCAGTGATACACAAATGTGGTATTGCCCCTACTGGTAGGCAAATGGGGGGGTGTCTGTATAAATGTGGAAAACATCTTTTTTTCCCATTCAAGGAGAGCCAAAGACTTGTGCTTTACTCTTGGTTTGTTTTTTTATTTTATTTTTAATTTTACTGGGCTAGCCAGTTTGGATTGGAAAAAAAAATATATTTGTAATGTTTTGTTTTTCAGCTCTTACCACTGGTAAAAAAAATGTGCAAAAAGTTCATGATTGTCAAGCCTTATGAAAATATGTTCCATAATTAGCAGGTTTGGGAAGTGGTGTGTTTAAGCATCTCTTTGAATTTGCAGCCATTTATCTCATCTTTTTAAAGAAATATACGCACAGAGGTGTACATGCTTGAACTCTCCCAAGTCGTTTAAAATTACAGTTAGCAAAGGGATTCTTAAAAGTTATTGTTTGCTTTGATGGTTTTTTTGCTTGGAATTTTCTCTGAGTAGAAGTAAAGCTAAGGAGGCTTCAAACAGAATGAGGAAAAGGCTCTTTGACTGCAAGTTGCACCAAACGTAACCAGGTGGCATCCATTTACTTCTGCAAAGACATTGCTGACTGCATAGATAGATCTGTGGCTGCAAGAAAGTGCACTGAACTGAATTCTACCCTACAAATTAGACTGGTTAAATGCAGTGTTCTGTCTATCCAGTGCTGTGCAGAAGTCACTCTATTAGTCAGCTTTATACATTAATTCACATATAAGTAGTAATCAGAATACACTCGGCTCCATAGTTATATTTATTTAGCAAGCACGGGCCTCTTAAAATAAGCACCCTCCCCCAGAGCAGCCACTTCCCAGTTCTTATTAATTGCAATGGTGTGTCTATAGTGAGATCTGCATTACGACCTACAAGTTTGCATATCTTAATCTCTATGGAAGGTGCCTTTTCTTTTTCCAAAGCAAAGCTTCTCCAGTTCAACCTTGAAATCCCTGGACTATATCCTACCACTCTGCGCAGCAAAACGTGACGCCTTCCTGCAACTTAACGTTAGGCCAGAGGGAGGCTTCAAACAGAGTGGTGGGATACATGCCTCTGACTGTTACTTTAAAGTTTGCAACAGGAGAACAGATTACCGTATTTTCCGGCGTATAAGACGACTGGGCGTATAAGACGACCCCCCATTTCTGAGAAGATTTCCCTGGGTTAAAAAGTAGTCTTATACGCCAGAAAATACAGTACTTCTATGC